TGGGAGCAAAGAGGGAGAAGGAGTGGGAGGGAGACAATGGGAGTGAACTGATCTGCAGGTACAGTAAAGCTGGTGTGGGTGGCCGGAAACACCGGGCTGGTGGGGCTGCACAAACCCTGGGGGGCTGCACAAACCTGGGGGCTGCACAAACCTGGGGGGCTGCACACACCTGGGGGGACTGCACCCTCAGCTGGGAGCCAGAGCTGTTGGTGGGCACTGGAGGGGTGGGAGAGAAGGCTGGAGTGGGCAGTGGGCAGGGCAGGGGAGGCTCAGCCCTGGAAGGAGGGTCCCCAAAGCCCCCTGGCAGGGGGTGATGCTGGGGGTCTCCCTGCTCTGGGTCTCTGTCCCTGTGCAGGGCTGGGTGGGGGTGAGAGGAGCTGGGTGCTGACACCTTGCCCTGCTCCCAGCCCTGGTGTGTTCATCGGCGTCACCCAAGCCGCTGCAGCAGAGGTGCCATGGGGACAGGCTGTGCCAGCGTCCTGGGCTGGCTCCTGTTGGCACAGGCAGCCCTGCAGGCCACAGGTACGTGTCCCTGGGCTGTGCAGGGTGGTGGGTTTGGGGTCTGTGGTGGGTCAGAGGGGTGAGCTGGGCTCCTGCCTCAGCCCTCGGTGCCTGCCCGCTCTCTCCTGTGCCACAGGCGGCCGTCCCTGCGATGCCAAGGACTTTGGGCACGGCTCGCTGGTCTGTGCCTGCAGTGCCGCGTACTGTGACACGCTGGACCCCCTGGTCCTGCCACCCCCCGGCTCCTACGTCAAGTACGAGAGCAGCAAGGCCGGCAAGAGGCTGGAGCGGAGCGAGGGGAGGTTCCAGCACAACGCCGAGAGCCCAGGTACCGCCACGGCCAGGACCTGCTGCCCACCCGGGGACAGAGTCCGTCCTGCACAGTAGCAGTGACTCTGTGTGTCCCCCCCCCAGATTTCCACCTCACCCTGGACACGGCGCAGCGGTACCAGAAGGTGAAGGGCTTCGGGGGCTCCATCACCGACGCAGCCGCCATCAACATCCAGTCCCTGTCCCAGGCTGCCCAGAACCACCTGCTCCGCTCCTACTTCTCCGAGGAAGGTGAGCCCGGGGCAGGGCGGCACTGCTGGGTGGTGCACCCCCCAAATGCACCCCGGCAAGTGCCCATCACCACCCACCCTGTCCCCAGGCATCGAGTACAACCTCGTGCGTGTGCCCATGGCCAGCACCGACTTCTCCGTCCGCCTGTACACCTACGCCGATGCCGAGGGAGACTTCGAGCTCAAACACTTCAACCTGACGGAGGAGGACACGAGGATGAAGGTGGGTCCTGCAGGAACAGCCCGAGGGACCAGGGCTGCTACCTGGGTGGGATGGGATGGGATAAAATCAAGTTGGGACGGGATGGGATTGGCTTGGGATAGGATGGGCTTCGGAACGGGAGTACCTTCCTGCTGATGGGGAGGGAGAGGACTCATTCTTTCATCTGGATGGGATGGGATGGGATGAGATGGAGAAGGGGGAGTACTGTCTCACTGGTGGAGAGAGAGAGGTCTCATCCTTCTATGTGGGTGGGAGACAGGATGGGACAGGATGGGATGGGACATGATAGGAAGGAATGGGATGGGAAGGGAATGGAAGGGGAAGGGGAGCACCTTCCTGCCAATGGGGAGGGAGGGGACTCATCCTGCCCCCTGGCTGAGATGGGGTGGAACAGAATGGAATGGGTTGGGATAGGGAAAGGGGGCACCTTCCCGCCTCTGGGGAGGGAGAGGAGGACTCCTGCTGCCTGCACTGCCAGTGCTGGGGCAGACCTGGAGAGCTCTCTGCCGTCCCACTTGTCCCCAGATCCCCATCCTCCGGGCGGCCCAGGCAGTGGCCAAGTGGCCACTGTCCCTGTACGCCAGCCCCTGGACCTCCCCCGTCTGGATGAAGACCAACGGCGCGATGACGGGGAGGGGGACGCTGAAGGGCAACCCTGGGGACAAGTACCACAAGGCCTGGGCCAAGTACTTCATCAGGTGAGGGGCCACGGGAGCGCAGTGGGTACCAGGGATGCTGTACCAGGGCTGGGGCTGGCATGGGTGTGACAGAGCTGTTCACTGTCTGCCCCACACCAGGTTCCTGGATGAATACGCCAAGCACAACCTGACCTTCTGGGCAGTGACGGCAGGGAACGAGCCCACGGCCGGGGAGATTGTTTTCTACCCCTTCCAGTGCCTGGGCTTCTCCCCCGAGCACCAGCGGGACTTCATCGCCCAGGACCTGGGCCCAGCGCTGGCCAACAGCTCCCACCGCCACGTCCAGCTCATCATCCTGGACGACCAGAGGGTGATGCTGCCCTACTGGGCCCAGGTGGTGAGTCCTCGTGGCAGCTTTCCCAGCCCCACAGTGGCTCTTCTGCCCCCATGGCAGCACTCCCAGCTCCACAGCAGTTCTCCCAGTCCCACGGCAGCTATTCCAGCCCTGGGCACTGGTGACCCCTTTCTCTTGCCAGGTTCTCAAAGACCCCGTGGCCGCCAGCTACATCAGCGGCATCGGCATCCACTGGTACCTGGACTTCCTGGCGCCCATCGACCTGACGCTCTCCATCACCCATCACCTCTTCCCGGACTATTTCCTCCTCTCCACAGAGGCCTCCACGGGCTCCTACTTTTGGGAGCCCAGGGTGGTGCTGGGTGGCTGGGACCGTGGGAGCAAGTACAGCCACAGCATCCTCACGGTAGGGCTGGGCAGGGGCCAGGGATGCACCAGCCACCCCCTGTGGCTCAGCACCGGGACTCAGCTCCATCCCCTGCCCCGCAGAACCTCAACAACTACGTGACAGGCTGGACCGACTGGAACCTGGCCCTGGACATGGAGGGGGGCCCCAACTGGAGCAAGAACTATGTGGACAGTCCCATCATTGTGGACAGTAGCAAGGACGTCTTCTACAAGCAGCCCATGTTCTACCACCTGGGGCACTTCAGGTGGGTCAGGGGCTGCTGGCTCCTGCTGCTGGCTCCAGTGCCATTCCTGGCACCATGCTCAGACCCTGCTTGTCCCCACAGCAAGTTCATCCCCGAGGGCTCGCAGCGTGTGGGACTGGCCGTCTCCAAAAAGTGCCACCGGTGTGACCTGGAGCACTCAGCTTTCCTGCGCCCCGACGGCGCCGTCGTCCTGGTGGTCCTGAACCGGTGAGTGGCTCAGCCCTGCGCCCTGCTGCAAGGCCCCACTGCTCCCACTGAGCTCCATCCCCTCCCTCATTCCCCTCAGCTCCCCCACGGATGTGTCCTTCGGGATCTCCGACCCCCGGGTCGGCTTCATCGAGGCCACGGCTCCCAGTGACTCCATCCAGACGTTCCTGTGGAGGCAGCCAGCCTAGTGCAGCTACTGGAGGAGCAAAGTGCCAGCACCGGGAGGAGCACGGTGCTGGTGGGGGCTTGGGGACGGGACCCCCATGGGGCTGGGGCTGCAGCAGAGCCCCTGCAGCCCCCTGTGCCCCAGGGGACCTGTTTGATCCAAGGGCTGCGACGCCTGCGCTTTTCTAGATGTTTTCATAAAATAAACAGGTTTTCTAAAACCTCGCCTGCGCCCCCACCCCCCTTGGTGCCAGCTCAGCTGGCAAGCTGTGCCAGGGATGGAGGGGGCAGGTTTGGGGCTGATGGCACCTCCTGAGCCCCCTGGGGTCCTGCCCTGCCTGTCCTGCCCTTTTCACGAGGGCATCCTGTGGGGTTGGTGCTCCAGGATGCAGGAGACTGTCACCCCAAGGGGTGGCATCTCCCTCCTGTCTGCAGCATCCCCAGGGCAGGGCAGGCCCCGAAGCTGGCAGGGACCGCAGATCAGGAGCAGCCAGGACCCGCAGTCGGGATTTAGTGCAGAGCCCTGGCGTCGGCAGCTCCGGTTTCTCCCCGGCCAGAGCAGGCAGCTGTGGTTTCTGCTGCCGGAGCAGCCATCAGCCCCTCCAGCGAATGGGAACCGGGAGCTTGGGGCACATACTTCCTGAGTGACGTTATGGGGGAGCGGGCTCGGACTGGGGGGGCTGCACTGAGTCATCCTCTTCCCAGTGGGGCCCCTTGAACCGGGCCAGTACGGGGGAGGCTCCGCAGCTGCCCAGCACCGCAGCTCCGCTCCCGCACGGCGCAGGGGCCCCCCGGCCATCGGGGCTGGGTGGGGGGCACGTGGGGCGCGTGTCCAGGAGCTCAGCCCGGGGACATCCAGCCACCGCAGCAGCAGGGCCGGGATGCCGGTGGCGGCGGCAGCCGGCGGCCAAACAAGCGAGGGCTGTGTGCCGGGCTGGCCCGGCGCCGCTGTTTCCATCTGCGCTCTCGTAAACCCGCAGTGGCCGGCAGGGAACGGCGGCAGCGCGGCCAGCGCCGGGGGCCAGCCCCACGCCGGGTGGCCCGGGGGACCACGGGGGGGGGGGGGGGCACAGGGAGCCCGAGTGGCTGCCCCCCGACCCCGCTCACAGCCCGCGAGCCCACGGCGGGCAGCCCACACTGACCGCGGGACGCGCTCCCGGCCGTGCCAGCCGCGGGAGCTCCCCGGCGCTGGCAGCCGTGGAGGAATGCAAACACATGTCAGCGCCGGAGGGATCCCGGCTGCTGGAGCTGGGCTCCGGGTGTCCCGCCGGCAGCAGGGAGTGCTCCCGGGTCTGGGGACGTGTCCTGACGAGCAGCCCCGGCCGCGCTTGGCGCTGGTTCCACGTCCCCAGCTGTGCTGCTCTCGGGGCAGCCGGGCTGGCAGCGGCGTGGAGGGCGGGGGATGAGCCCCACAGAATCTGCCCAGAGGGATTCTACATTGGAGCAATGTGGGCTCAGCCCCACAGCTGCAGGAGAAGGGACAGGGAATGCAGCTGAGACACCACAGATGCTTTTAGGTTCCCCCCATGCCCAGTCCCCAGTGAGACCTGGGCCTGGGGCCAAGGGCAGAGCTGGGGGCGGGACATGCTGGTGCCTGCTGCAGCACTCCAGCCTGGGCAACTGGGGAAACTGGGAAGGACCCCGAGTGTGCTGAGAGGAAAGAGGGAGGTTTATTGGCGTGGCAGGGACACTCCCGCAGTGAGGGCCGTGGTTCCTGGCGGGACAACGAGCGGAGCACCCACGGGGAATGATGCTGCCAGGCTCCCGGTGTAAAAACAGTCAGTTCCAGGGGGCTGGGGGGTGAGACAGTCACACAGCTCATCCTCACTCCTCCTCCTCCTCTTCCTCCTGCTCCATGGCGATGGGCTGCCGGCCGGCCGGCCCCACGCCGCCGCGCTGGATGGACACGATGCCGCTCAGGAAGGCGTAGCCCAGCATGGCCACCAGCCCCACCAGCACCGACAGCAGCTGGTTGCGCCGTTTGTGGGGGTCCTCCTCTCCCTCACCGCTGTCCGTGCCCGCAGCCCGTGGGGCACCGGCCAAGGGATCAGCTGGGGGAACAGAGCAGGGATGAGAGGGGGGAAAGGTCACCCCGAGCCCATAGGGTGAGGTGGGGGACGGCCCTCACCTCCATCCCAGGGGAAGTAGAGGCTGAGGATGGAGGTGCAGTAGTTGCACAGGTTCTGCAGGGACTTCAGGTGCTGCTGCAGTTTCCCGTTGGGCAGCTTCGCCTTCAGGAGCGGCGCCAGGCGGCTGAAGACGAAGGCGTCGAGGGAGGCCGGCCTGGGGCACAGAGAGCCAGGGCTGGGCCACTGTCCACACCCAAAGCCACCCGGACACACTGGCCACCCCCCAGCGCCCTGGGGGATGGCACACGGCTTCCCCTCCTTGGGAGGGCACTCTGCCTCCAGCCCATGGTGAGGACGGGGAGCAGGATGATCCCATCCCAGACCGCTCCCACAGCCTGAATTCCTCACTCCCTGCTGCCTGGAACAGCCCTGTCCCACCCACAAAGCAATGCACAGGGGCTGTGACTCCCCTGCAGAGCAGGGGAGGCTCAGCCCTGCCAAGGTGTGGGCAGGCCCCTTCCCCTGCTCCTTCTTTGGCCACCTACGAGTCTCCGAAGAAAAACTTCTGGGAGCCGAGGCGCTGGGAGAGGAGTGTCAGGCATTCCCGGGCTTCCCGGTAGAGCTGCAGGAGGAGGAGGAGGAGGAGGACAGAGGGTTGTCACCCACCCAGGCACCACCACGGTGCTCAAGGGAGCCGGAGGGCAGAATCCCAGCCCCCAGTTTGGATTTTGGCTTCACATGGATCCCCTGGGCACCACCCAGGACCTGCTGTGCCCAGACCTCATATCCCTCACCTGCTTCTCCAGCTTCTCCTCATCCTCCATGTAGTCGTCGCCCCACAGGAGCTGCAGCCGCTCCAGGTGCCGCTTGTGCATGGAGTTGGGCAGGAAGAAGTTGAGGGGGAAGGGGATGGTCTCCGCGTACCATTTCCGCGTGTGCTCCACGTAGTTCTTCGCATCCACCCAGAACGTGTGGATCTGTGGCGGAGAACAACCCGCGGCCCGGCCACGGCGGGGCTGCAGCCAGTGGGGCCGGCACACCAGAGCCCCTGCCCAGCACAGCCACCCCAGAGACCTCGAGGGGCTGCGGGAGCATCGTGGTGCAGGGCAGACCCCAGCCCTGGCTGCACAACCCACCCTCACTCCCGATCCCTGCCACGCCAGACCCCTGGGATGTTGCTGCCGGCAGCGCTCTCCGGCTCCACAGGTGGGTGGGCACAAACCTGAGCCCACTTGCATGTCTCCAGGGAGCAGACCCCATCCTCGGCGAGCCCCCCTTCCCCACGGCTCCCCCCTGAGCCTCACCAGCACCGGCAGCAGCTTCTCCTCCAGCAGGGACACGAAGGCCAGCGTGTCTGCGTTCTGCGTGGCCGACAGGTCATAGTCGGCGTTGTACTTCTGCAGAGAAGACACCACGTGCTGAATCCTGCCAGCGGGAGACACGACAGAGCCCCGTCCTCCTCGAGGGGCTCTGCTGCCCCCCAGCCCGGGGCAGGGGGTGCTCCACACCCCCCCGTACCTGTTTCCTGAGGTGAGTTATGATCTGCTGCGTTTTGGAGATGGTGCCCTCGTCCTGCGTCCTCAGCGCGGGCAGGTGCCCTGTGGGCAGGGGGAGTGGGGGCTGCAGGTGCCGGGCCTGGGGGGCACCCTGGGCGGGCAAGGGGTTGGGGGGCAGAGCTGGGACAAGGGGAAGGGCCCCCACGCCCAGGTGAGGGGTGGGAGGCAGAGGGAGAAGTGTGTGTAAGGGGGGGTGGGGGGACACAGGGGTGCAGGTGAGGGGTGGAAACCAAATGTGATGCAAAATGAGGATGAGGGGAATGCAGTGGGATGTGGGTGACAGGCAGGGAGAACAATGAGGTGCAATGGGACAGGGTGGGCAATGGGGCGTGAGGGTGCAGGGGGGCACAGGAAAAGGGGGCTGTGAGGGGGTGAGGGGGTGCAATGGAGTGAAGGGGGTGTCCAAGGGGACAGGGGGTGGGATAGGATAAGGGGGTGCAACGGGGTGTGAGGGTGCAACAGGACAGCGGAGGTGCGATGGGACAGGGGTGTGATGGGATGAGGGGGCTGTGCTGGGGTACAGAGGAGTGTAGTGGAGTGGGAGGGTACAGGGGGGGCGCAGGAAAATGGGGGTGAGATGAGGGAGGTTTGTGATGGGGTGAGGGGACATCCAAGGGGACACAGGTTGCAGTGGGATGAGGGTGTGCAAGGGGGTTGTGATGGGATGAGGGGGGGGGGAGGGGGTACAGGGGGGGGCGGGATGGAGGGGGGGGCAGGACAAGGGGGTGCAATGGGGTACAAGGGTGCAATAGGACAAGGGAGGAGGTGCAATGGGACAGGGGGTGTGATGGGGTACAGGGGAGCGCTGTGGTGGTCATAGGACAAGGGGGTGCAATAAGATGAGAGGGTGCAATGTGGCAGGAGGGTGCAGCGGGGGGGGGCACTGGACATGAGGAATGCAGTGGGGTGGGAGGGTGTGATGGGGCAGGGGGTGAAATAGGATGGGAGGATGATGGGACGGGGTGTTATGGGATGGGGGGTGATGGGGCACAGTGGGGTGCAATGGGGTGGAAGGGTGCGGGGGTGCACAGGACAAGGGGTGTTCGATTGGATGGGGGGGTGCCATGGGGTGGGGGTTCCACAGGACATGAGGGATGCGGTGGGATGGGAGGGTGTGACGGGATGAGGAGGGTGTGTGATGTGCGGGAGGCTGCAGCGGTGCGGAGCAGGGGGGGGGCAACGGGGTCCCCGGCCGTGCCGGCACCGGGTGGTCCCGGAGGTTCCGGTGCCGGTATCCCCCGCGGGGCCCTTACCGGAGGGGCTCCTCCAGGGGTGGGTGACCCGGTGCACCTTCAGCGGCGCCCCCGTGAACCGCGCGTAGGTCTGCGGGAGGGAGGGAGGGAGGGAGGGAGCGGCGGCAGCGGGGGGCTCAGCCCGCGGGACCCCCGGCCCGGCCCGTCACCGGCCCCGCCGCCCCGGCCCCGCCGCTCACCAGCACGGCCAGGCAGTCGGGATCCACCGAGGGCAGCCCCCAGCCCCCGGCCCAGCAGAACAGCTCCATGGGCGCCGCCATCTTCCGCCGACCCGGAACCGGACGGGCGGCCCCGCACCGCCCCCGCCGCGGGGCGGCACCGGCGGCACCGCACCGGGGGCTCCGCACCGGGGGCTCCGGAGGGCGAGGTCGGCGGTGGTGGCGACTGCCGGGACCCCCCGCACCGCTCGGCTCAGCTCCACACTGCTCGGCCCGGCACCTCCACGCACTGCACCGCACAGTCCTGCTCAGCCCCGCACCTCCCCGCACCGCACAGTCCTGCTCAGCCCCGCACCTCCCCG